TTGTCTGATGAGCACTCCCGGGAAAAGTGTGTGACTTATGATGGAAACACAACTTAGATGACTGGTAAGTTTTTAATTTAAACGAAGTAAACGAATCAAACAATATTAATGAAGCTGGTGATCTGACAAAACGTCCTACTGTAAGTAGTTTATGCACATTTCTGCTGTCACAGAGCCATTCCAGCACAAATGTAAGTAGGTATGACGGTTTGCCACTTAACTTTGCCCATCAGAGTATGCTTGAAGCTCATAATTATAAAGCCAGGACGGTTTGCCACTTCATTTTACCCGTTAAAGTATGCTTGTACGTCACATTTACAAAGGTAGGACGGTTTGGCACTTAATTGTACCCATCAGAGTATGTTAGTAGCTTATATTCACATAGGTAGGATGGTTCGCCACTGAATTTCGTGTTGTGCGCATGCGTAGAAACAACGGGTAGGATGGTTTGTCAGGTAGGATGGATTCCCAGAACACCTGCACCATCATTATGGCCCATTTTATCAAAGCTGTAGGGCTAAATAGATCATAAAAAAGTAATAGCGTATCAACTTCTTCTTACTTTATTTATTTACAAACTTAAATCAGTCATACACCCAAACTAAGGGACGGCCATACCCACAAGCCACCAAGGAATTACTGGTGACACACTTTAAAAGCAGAGTCGTTAAATTATTTTTATCTTGCAAGTTTATTCTGCGATTTAAAAATAATAATTTTAGAAATTATTTTTGCTTCTTAGCATGTTGACAGCACATTTTGATGTAGTTTACGCCTTTTGATGTAATGTAATGTAAAATGTAAAGCCTACCTTTGCTGTGTTTTTACTGGTGAGAGTTGCTTCTTTGGTTTACAAAGGGTCTTATCTTCAATAACATCAGATGGGAAATGTGTCCATACGTCTCCCAAGTGTTGACATTTTGTCCCATTTTCATGAGAAAATGTGAGGGTCTAAACTTACTGCACAAGGATATTACTTCTGATTGGATCACTTCCATCAATACATTTCATCACAGTTTTTGTCCTCCGTGTCCCAGAAAGTCTAAAATACTCTGCAAACAAAAACAGCACTTCAGGGATTTATGATGCACTGCTGGATTGAATTATTTTTATTCTAAAAATACAAAAGAAATCATTATTTGATAATTTAAT